TCGGTTGAGGGGTTGAAAACAAAGAAGAACGAGATCAAAAACCAAACAACCAGGGGCTCGTACAAATGGTTTTTGATCTTGTCTCTCCATGTTCGCAGTCCTTCGAGGGGTTGAACGACCGTCTGCCGCCCTCCTTCCCCATAGCACTGCCTCGTGGCACGCCGGCCGGCCGGCCGGCCAGCGGACTATGAAAGCAGCCTATGCTTGAGTTCCTTGCTAGCGATAGCGACCACCCTCCTCAGCTATGGTGGAGGTAAAAATAAAAGCTTAGGTATTTTTGAAGTCTACCTACCTCAGTATTGCACATTTCGACCTCGAAGGCTCCTCCTTCACATTCCCCAGGCAAAGGACAAATCCGCTCTCTCTTGCGATGGCCACCATCACAGGTTTGCGTGCACTCAGTCCATTCGGCCCATTCTAGCCAACATGCCATCTGAATAAAGAAGTTGATCACTACAAGAATATCCCATCAGATCGTAGATCAGAACCTTTCCAGGATTGAAACATGGCCTATTTTCTTCGGTTTTTTGTTCGCAGTCATCTGCTAGACATTGTCTCTTCCGTCGTTGTTGACCTTGCCCACATTCGCCTTCGCAACTCGTCCATTCACCCCATTCCGTCATCACGTCACACTCTGGTGGAGGTGGAAGACATGGCCGCTGCTCCTTTGCTTCTCCTGTATGCACAAAAATTTTTGCACAAATTTCATCTTCACCATAACTGATAAATAAATGAACCAAATAAAGTAAATCATTGTAATAACCAGTAATGACGCTAAGTTTTACATGAGGAAAGGGTAGTAGTAAGTGATTACGAGGAATAGCTAACTGACTATGGGCTGAAGAAGGGCACTGGTGTGGTAGGGACTATTGCTTTCGCGTAATCTAGTACCATTAGGCACCCTTACACACGATGTGATCCTTCATTCCAACGTCCGCCCTGAGCATTTTTCAAAAATAAGCTCGAAATCCTGCTCACCTTGACAACCGGCTAGTCCGTCGGGATTGTTGCAATCTCTCTTGCGAACTTGTCGACCATGAGCTCCACAAGAAGCACTGCACTCAGACCAGGAAGACCTGAAATATAAAGAATGCTTTACCAGTCGGTTCCTCCGACTATCTGCCCTTCTCGAAGCTTAGCCCCTCCTCCTCCTTACCGTCACTTTATCCCACATTGCCTTACCGTGTCACATCAAATTTCTTGTTCTTCACCCTAACTCTAATTTCCTCCACTTTCTACTGCCGATCTTTTAGACGCACGTGTTTTCTCTCCCCTCCAGCTTCCCACTAAGTTTTGTTGTCTCTTCACGTCGCCGCAATCTTTACATTCTCATTATACCGTCTCTGGCTTCATAGAAGACTCACGGACGTGCGTGCGCGGCGCGTACAGGATGACGTCACCGCCGGTGGGCGGGGCGGTCAATGCCTATGGTGCATTTCAATAAAGGTGAATTCACTAACAAATATTTGACTCTGCGGTTGTTCCTTCTAATCAATATTGTGACTCGATCAAGTACCATGAGCTACTTAACTTAATACTAGATGCAATCAAAGTATGCGAACCCATATTTGAGAAACTGTTATTGAATTAATTGTCATTGGAGCGCTGTAGCCGGTATTTGCACGCCCAATCACCACTGCTCCAAAATACTTTACGCGCCGCGTACGCTCGCGTACTCGTTACTTTTTTACCCCCACTCTTTCTTTGTTGCACATGTAAGACAACAATATTTCGACATACAACAACCCACAGACCCATACTTTTTGTGTGCGATGAAGCGATGCATTGTTAGCCCTGTTGTGCAGTGAAAGTGTTGTTAGTTGAAGTAATATTAAGACAGTTCAAAGTTTCACTTTTACCATTACATACCACAACATGCGTATGATTTATGTCTTTAGCTGACATGAACTTCATAACTGGAGGAAATTCTAGTACTTAGGGCGTACTTCCTTTCAAAATTCCGGCGATATTCAATAAGATTCACAAATAAATTGTCCACTCATCAGTATGAAGTTCTGTTTGTAAACAGATATCAGAGAGGGATCATTCGAATTTTATTTTTTTTTCTACAATACAAGACCAGTTTTTGGAAATTCGGTTTCTACCGGACCAAAGTAAGCTTGCTCTCGAAACTCGTTGACTTTGATCTGGATTTGGACGACGACATTTCTCAGTCACTAAGTATTACCTCAAAACCATAGAAGTTCTTAATCCGTCAATTTTGTCGAGTTGGTAAAGTCAGAGAAGTCAAATTCGGCGATGACACTATGTCTAATAAGTTACCATACAAGTTTACTTTATTTTTACTGCATATAAATAAATTACATAGATGATCACAAGAAGCGCTGGCTAGTGCACAAAGAAGTGATGAGGTGCAAAACGACATAATTACGTGCATTTTCAAGGTACAAACCAGTCAGTCCATCCGTATTGTCGTTTAGCATCTGGGCAATCATCGTCACTGTCTACTACTGCTTTGCCATCACATCCCAGTCTCTAAAACAGGTTGAATTGCTATTTATGACTCCTTCGCTAGAAAAGATCGGTCAAGGGCTTACAAGGCAAGTTCCACTTATGCAGTACTGATCCGGGCCGCATGGGGCCCCATCTGGGAATTGGCCCTTGTTTCGGATCAGCTCCGAATCGATGAGATGGCACCAGACCTTACACGGTTGGGTTGCATCTGAATTATGCTAACATTTTCTTCAGCATATCAACGGAACCATACCTCAAGGCGGCTAGGCATACGCGTAAAAAAGGAAAAATCAATAATCACCCATTCCATGACCCTCTTCAATCTTAAGACACTCCTATAGCCTTGATGATCAGAAAATTGGATGAGAACTACTGTATTCTGATATTTTGAGAAAAAACTTACGCTCGAAACCGTCTCCAGTCAGCTGTCGATCTGGTTTTAGTGGATCATGCTTTATAGACGAGCATATGCGGTTACTGTATTCTTCTCGAGAAAACCCTGAAAATCCCTTCAATGATAACTTGTATTCGCAATATTTTCCCAGGATATGGCATCGGATCGAGTTCCTCTGTGTACGAAATAATCAATCAATAGTCGTACACCGTAGAAAAACAAACCTCGGCAAGAACTATGTGCCGTTGAGCAGAGAATTCCACGGATTGCAGATCCGCTACACGGGAGCCCACCGTTGTTCGGCCTTAATATTTAAATAAAAAAGTTTTCATCTTAATTTTCAAGCAATTCATAATCGCTTTCAGTTCTTCCATAGACCCCAAAATCAGACCAATTTTTCGTTTTCGAGAATTTTCTCTGTCGACCTGGAAACTGAGCGTTTATGCTTCCGCTTCAATTCACGGCCTCAAATCAAGGGCAATCATTCAGAGAAGGAAAAAAAGTTTCGAGATAAAATTACGGAAGCTCTCTTACGCTGGATTCACGCAATCCCGATGCTGTGGCCGAATCGGAATGCTGTCAGTAATCTGACAATGCTGTACAGGACATCTGTCATCAGTACTCCATCTTGACCATCCACCATGCACAACCTGAGGTGGTGGTCCAAATGGCCATGGCAGGCATTGCCCTTCATGGCACCACTGAAATCATACTAATACTCCTTAATATAAATATAAATCGTTTATTCAGTAGTTAACAGTACCCTGCCACCTCCACAGTAACTGCCTTCCAAAGCTGGATGAGCCGTAGAAATTGTCGATCCACCATTTCCACACCACAAAATTCGACAGATGTCCTGAACTTTCCTGACAATAACTACTGCATCTCCTCCACAATGCACAGATTTTAACGCTTTTGTTTTTTTTGCATACTAGTAATGAATTCGTAGTTAACATGGTTAATCTAACTGGTTCAAATCGAAACAATCCCTTCAAAAAAATACTAATAACAGGGATAAGGATAAAATATGTAGGTGAAGGGTGATATAACTGCTCTGTAAAATTCCAAGGTTCACGTACATCCATTGCGCGACCAGCTGGTATTTCCACCTTGTAGTCACGGCCCCAGAAATAAGCGCACTGTTGATCAGCTGTGAATCGTTGGCCAGGTGTTCTGAAGAGAAGTTTTTACATTTTCGCTCTGTTTACTCTAAGTATACAAAGAATTCTGTTAGGAAAGATTATGAAGATTATTTATTACCATTTCACCATTTTAAGGAGCTGCACTAATTAGAAAGTTGACAATTCTCTTTGAGGAACAAAATTCAAATAAAATTCAAAATCATAACTTTATTTGGCCTAGGATTCGGTTTCATTGCCTACGAAATATAAGAGGCATTAAAAAAGTTTTTCAAACTACTATACTCATTCACCCTTCTCTACCAAGGCAAAAAAAGCTACCAAAGTAAAACTGGCTAGTGGCAGCCGCACTTGCTTCATGGTGTAGGCTTGTGGAAAGGAACGACATACTGGATACTTTGACAGTGCGCCCAGAATGAATCTTTATGAAAGACTATTAGCATTGTTAAATGACTGTAAAAGCTTGTTAATTTAGTAAATTCTCGATTCCTTCAACCAAAACCGAATTTCGCAATAAAGCATTCGGAATAGGGTACCTGATTGGCCTTTCCGAATCTCTTCGGGTGGGGTAGGGAATGGAACTTCTTTTTAGAATCACACAACTCTCCAAGAGCTGCCTACACTTTGAGAATGCACTTAGACCAGTCGTTTTATCCATCAAGAAAGTCTAGAGGCTGTTTTTTGAGCAAAGGGAATGGCTGGGTGAGATTCTGAATCACGCCGAGTAATGAGCCCAATTCAGTAGCATTACTACTTTGTCGTGACTCGATTCTTGGAAGCACGAGCATAATAAATAGTATNCTACACTTTGAGAATGCACTTAGACCAGTCGTTTTATCCATCAAGAAAGTCTAGAGGCTGTTTTTTGAACAAAGAGAATGGCTGGGTGAGATTCCGAATAACGACGAGTAATGAGCCCAATTCAGTAGCATTACTACTTTGTCGTGACTCGATTCTTGGAAGCACGAGCATAATAAATAGTATGAAGTAAAGGAAAACATCGTATCAGAGATACCAGTTTTGAGAAGAGGAAAAGAAAAAAAATTGAAAGAAAAACTGTAGTTGAATTTCAAAGTCGATAAGTCGTCCTCACCTTCCGTCTTGTAGGTGATTGCGCTCAACTAATCCGGGTGAGCCATCTCGCAGACAATTTCCCGTACCAGATTCGCTAAAGAGTAGCAGATCGTTACTTTACAAATTCAACAATATAGGGGTTAATCTACATGTAACGAAAGAAAATGTAAGTCATAGATGTGCAAAAGAAAAAATTAAATAAAATTTGCCCAGAGGAAATAGTTCAAACGAAGTTGGTAGCCGTCAGTAAGAAGAATGAAAAGAATCCGAATCTGTACCAGAAGAAACCTAGAAAAGATTACTACTGCTGCCCGAATGAGTAGTACTTACTCCAACTGCAATAGGAAAGCGTTGAACTCCCTTACAGAACACTCGGACCATGTCGTTTTGCCGGCTCCATTCACAGCCGACATCAGACAACAAGATTTGCTGCACTGATTCTGTACGCCATCGTGGACCATACCCATACTGAAANACCCACTTGTGTCCCATTTCATGAGCCAAAACGAACGATCGACCGAGATGTAGTCCTTCCACCAGCGAGCAAGCGAACAGCTGATCGCACATTCTGGCCACAGGAGCCACTCCGGCAACGGATGCAGTGGTATGGTAGATGTCATATCTGCACAAATCCAGGCTTATATCAGCTAAATGCAAATGCAAAAAAACAGGAGCCCTGTGCTTTTGATGACTATCGATTGCCCCGGTAAATCGCTAAACAGTAGGACAGACAAAGGAGAAATATTCTATTCCTGTTCCTGTTACTATTTACTAATTCAGATTGTAACGGTAGAACTACACAGTACGGTGTGTAAATAGATAAACAAATAAACAAAAAGGTAAGTAAAATAATCTGCATTTATTTGGGATAGTGATATAGTGCGGTCGTGATTTGAACACTGGAAACACTCTGAAGACCGCCTTTGTATGGCAAAATTCGGTGCGTCAGGCGAAAAACCTGGCCCTAATGTCACTTTTTTGATCAAGAAATAATAACTTCTCGAAAGTGGAACCACAAACGGGTAGAGAGAAAGGCAGTGGAAGAAAATTGATGGCCATGAGTTTTTCCTCAGAACAGAGTCGCAGATTAATGATTAACGAGAACTGCGCCACCTTCAGGAAGGTCATTAAAGCTTTATGACAATTAATTTAAACGAACCCAGTCAAAAGGACACCATGGTCCCAATGTCCCATGTCAGTCAGATCGGTACCCGGATTGATATGAGCTTGATGACGACAGAATGCATCCAATAAACTTTGAGCTTGGCCATTTTTGTGGACGAACGTTGCCAAATTGGTCTGAAAAAACCGAAGGATTAATTTTCTCGGTAAAGGTAAGTCAAGATGTACAAGAATATTCAAAAACTAATATACAAATCAAGGAGGGGAGCACATGAAACGAGTTGGGTAACCTTTGGTTATGAAAAGTTATCCTCAAGTAGCACTCTTTCGTGGCCTTAACCAGAAAATCTTTTGGGATAGGCAGAGGAAGGAGGATGGAGAGAAGGTGGGGTGATTACGGACTCGAGTGAGGTAATCGAACTCGGAACTTCAACCCTGTAGTGCGAGGTCCGAACATAATAGAGAAAGGTTTGGAAGCAGCCGGTAGGAACTAGAGAACTATGAGCTCAACGAAGGTCAAAGTTCTTTAGGAATCTTAAACAGTAGTTTCGAGAACTAGAAGGATCAAGGTGAGGATGGGAAACCAGTCGGAGTTTAAGGCTTCTAACGTTAAAGTGGGGTTGGGCCCAGATTATGTTACCCCAAGAAGGTTAAGGTTAGGTTAGCTGTTACCCATGGACAAACGCATGGAAAGGGTCTTTTTGCCGATGTCAGCAGGCCACCTCTACCCCATAGGAATAAACAGATTAAATAAATAGGAAACAAATATAGAGCACTTACAGGTTGAGACTTCCACATCTCATATCTGACGATTACGATATCCAAGTTTGGAGAAAGAGTGGGTTGTTGATACAGTACATGAACATTATTGATTAAAGCTAATGAAAAATCGAGAAGATGCTGCTCAGGATCTTGAATATATTCCCTGAAACCAATATGAACTGATGGGTGCCACTGATCGTCGACGAACGCTCATATTCTCACCTTTGGAAATGCTCAAAAAGTTTGGAGTCAAGGAAGAGTCCGATCTCCAAAGTGATTGGATCGAGATTAGGAAAAACAATGGGTGAGTCCAGTTTTGCTGCTGTCGGTATTGTGTAGTTCAGCGAGAGGATCTCCACTGAAAAAAGTGCTACACTTCATAAGATCCTGAAGTAAAAAGAGAAGTGGAGTAAAAATCCCAAAAAGATTCAATGGGTGAATAGCGAAAATGAAAAGTAAAACAAAAACATGGAAAGTAAAAAAAAATAACTTCGGCGCAGTAACAGGCGCGAACAAATTTTTCTCAGTTCGATTGCTTCCGGCCGTTTGCCCATAAAAATCAATATTGATGTCTTTCGTAATAGAACGCTGGCCATGCGCCGATCACAATATGATGAAATTTATAACAAGTCCGATTATCAGAGTTGCTCCACCAAATATAATCGTCTGACAAGGTCATTATTTTTTGGTCCCCCGATTTCTTAGAGAAATTTTTTTCATTTTTCATCATTTGCCAAGTCAATGTGAATTTCAAAGTATTCTAGGTTCTCGCATAATGAAACTTCCTATATTTTTTGTATCTGACGACGACTTTCCATTCCATTTGATTCTCATAGATGTAATCCATCTATGGAATGAACATTATTTTCCGCTACCACCGGGTCGTTAAAAGGCTCATGTACCAAAGCCTCGCTCGGTTTGCTAATTTTTTACTGATATGATTGTTATTATACTACGTTCTCAATAGTTAGAATTTAGGTTCCTCTTTCAAAAATGAGTTGTGAATAACGTGTGGTTGATTAAGATGGGGTGTGTGCCGTTAGGTCAGACAGGGCCACGCAGAAATTCGTCGGGCGCAGAACTTTCTCGTCGTAAATGACAGACTACTTCCGCGTGCAACACCTCTCGCTGTGACTTCACTACCAAAATCGTCTGTGAACTTTGACCACTCGAAATTCACTTGCTTCGAAGAAGTTCTAAGGAAAAGAGTGATCCCCACCGTCAGATTAGGGGCAAGAAACCACGTCCAAAAAACCACCTTAGCAAGGTTTTTGTTCTTTTTTTTTGACATCGTGACAATACTTGGACTTAAGGACCCTTTGTTGAGCACGTGACTTCACTCGATTGGCATTACACTGGTGCCTGGACGGGATCTTGAACGTGTAAGTGATTTTTAACGTGCACGATTTTTTCCTAGCTAATTGAGTCGTTTTCGTGAAGTGCACTTGCCAGCCTATTGAACTGCGTAGGAAGGACGGGGCAGACAGTTTTTGGGAATCATTCTCTAATATATTGAGCGCTGACTAACTAGTTACAGAGATAGTACATGTCAGATCATGCCTCATAGCATAGACATCATTGACACTATATTACAATAAAGTTTGGTAACCGGTTTGACATGGAATCGAATTTGACATGAGGACCAATGTGGACTTTGAGAAATGTACTTTGAAGATTACTTTTTCTTAGTCACTAAAAGCTTTGCGGTTCCAGTTTTAAGATAGGTGTACCAAGTGAAAGTGCAGCATTTTCTCTTGATTTCCAATTGATCGATAATTGGATCAATCTCAATTTACGGGAAGCGCACTGGAGAAGGTAGAAAGCAGTTCGTAAATGTGAAGTGCAAAAATGGAAAGCGAACGAGCTCAGTGAGAGGGCATCTCCTCAAAAAGTCTCTCATCAGCTGTTAACGCTTAGTTTTCTTTTATTTTATTTTTGTTGTTTACTTTCCCAGTTCATTACAATTTATTGTTTAGATTTCCTCTCTGTGTGCATATTTATTTATTTATTTGTTTGTTTATTATTTATTTGTTCATTTGTAGTTTTTTTTCTTCACTTTCGATTGCCAGTTTGAGTTAGATCGGGTATAAGATTACCGTACAGTCATTGCAGCAAATAAATAAATCAATATCAAATAAATAAATTAGACTAAATTAATGGATAACTAAACTCTCACTGATTTCAGGTAAACTGCAATTTCAATACACAAAAGGATTCCTGGTTTCGTGATTGAAAGGTTCGAGATGAGCCGAAAATATAATTTATTCTTTGGCCCCCATGATTCTATGCTACAATAGGACTTTAAAAGACCCCATTTAAATCAAGAATCCTGCTCCGTTTTTGCAACGTCAGAATTATGTCATGGTGCCTCCGCTACAGAACGGGTATCGGACAGGCTTTACAAGGGCAGTAAAAGAACAATTACTGTGGGAAGAAAACGACGTCATCTGGTTAGTGATCCAGGAGAACTTAGAGTAAGTAGTGTAGCAGAACTTGAGACGACAAAAAAACTTTAGCAAAATTCTTAGCTGCTAACTCATTACCTGCTAGAGGATCGTCCATGTTTTCGCTGGTATCGCAGAACGGTTCTTGAACGTCATTTAACTTAATTATTTCCTCTTCTAAATTCCGTTCAAATGCCGTCAGAAGACTCGGAGAACGCTTGAAGACCAGGTGTTCCGTAGGCTGAAACAGATAAATTTAAGAATCACTGATGTGATGACCCATATTGCCCATCTATCTGTGTTCAATCAGCTGGGGCATGATGCGCCATTTCACTTTTTAGCTGCGCCTCGCGTTCGCCGTTGCGTCAGAGCAACGCGCTGCGGAATTGGATCGTCGCGATGCGAATGTGCGACAACGCAAGGACGTCGAAAATAGGAAAGCAGCGTTTTGTTGGCTTAGATGTATTTATTTCACATTCAAAATGACATCAGCTTCTTGATACCACGCTGTGAACACTTCATCAATTACTCATATTTTTATTTTCAACACCTACTAATGATAGTTCAACCCAGCGCCAAAAGTCACCTTCATATCGCATAAAGCCTTCGCAGGAGAGCTAACGCGCGATTCGTTCATTTTCAGTAATAATCGCAGTAGAGTTGAGCTAAGAGCAGAACTAGAATGTGCTGGATCTAGGCGCAAACCCGTCGCGTGCGACGAGCGGCCCAATCGCGCAGCGGCTACGATGGGCGACTAGCTTCGCCGGGACAAGACCGCGCAAAAGCGGCGAGTTTAAATGGCTGTAGATTCGCGCGTCATCCGGACCTAATGGCACGCATTCAATAATGATGAGCACCTGTATTCTGTACGTGTAATTACATTGAAAATAGTAATGATACTGACAACTAATGTAAATTAACACCTACACTGTGGTGCCGGACTCGTTGCGGTACAGTTTGAAGGACAAGGAAGTGATCATCCATTACTAGCGTACCCATAAGAGATCGACAATCGGAAATGGCTACAGGTACCCGTCCATGTGAGGAAACAACGCCCTAGAAAAGTGATTTTTGATTTCACCATATCGATCGCTACAAACAATTCATGAAAATTATTAAGCAGGAATCCTCCAACAGTTGAAGACCCTGAAAACAGGGTTTTCTTATGTTATGTTCATGACTAACCTGGAAATGGCAACTGTGATCCAGATCGAGCCCTTTTTTCTCGATCACATCCGAACCATTCCGAGTGATCGACACCTAAAATGGGCTGTTCTACTTCGAACTGCTTGCTACTTTACTTCAGAAATCGGTAAACTTGTAAAATTGCCTACAGTTCAGTGAACTTACTATATGTGGGCTGATAAGCCGATTATTCGGCTTCAAGTCCAGCATGTATTCATCTCCCCAGGCTTGAAACCGTATCCGTAGTCCTCCATCTTCCTTGCGGAATTTTTCTGTTTTTATTAGCTCATATTCTGGAACCTGTAAAATCCCATTGTTGTGTACAGTACTCCAAATGAGTGGTATGATGGGATATGAGATAATATGATAAGATAAGATAAAGTTGCATACATGATGGACTTCTTCAACACCGAAGACGTGCTGAAGTTCCCGTTTTGTGAGTTTGTGATGGATACCCTGAAAAATCTATGATTAGTGTTAAAATGGTTTTATGTAAGACTTCCAATGTTGATGGATGGTGATGATTCGCAGATGTTGAACTAGTACTTTACTTGTAGTGGCCACAGTACATACGTTCAAAGTAAATATCTCAAAAAACATTAAACAATAAACAATAAAGTTTGCCCATAACCAGACGCATACAGTCTTTACCTACATACATGTTGTAACTGTAATGCTAGTTAAGGGGAATTAAACAGAGACAACAGTTTAGAAACAATCGATTCCTTATGACGCTGACTTTCCTTCTCGTCACCTATTGATTTGAGTTTTTCAAAAAGATTTTAAGATAAAATTTTCATGCTACTACATATCTCTATCTGACATAAAATCTTGAAGGTGGTAGCGTCCTATCCGACTATCAGGAACTTTATTTTAGATCACCCAGGAAGACGAACGTATTTTACTTCCTAGTACATACTACATATGTCGCCGTATAAAAATGTAGTCATAATGGAGTCGACGCAATTTTCCGGAAACTTTCATTCCCGTATTGATAGAACTTTACAGAGTGACCCAGATACGGCACCTCAAGTTAAGCGTAAGTCTTAAAGATAGTGAGTATCAGTGAGCAAAGATAATAGCTATCGGTGAGGAAAACTTACTTGTAACCAGGGTTAATTAACAGCCTTTTTTTTGTCATTTCCAAAGCTATATTTAGGTTACTTAAACTTTGAAGTTTCTGGACCATTCCGCAGTAGTGAATAGCAAGGCTTTTACCAATGATGCTGGAGAGCAGACGACTATTATGACCATTGCTTACTTAGTGTTTGTGAAGAGTAATAGACAGTCAGCTATAAATCGCATTTGGAGACTCATCTCTTCAGTCTGGCTGGACTGAAGTTTATAAATACGGCGAGTTATGGCAAAAGCTGGTTCGAATCCTGTCCAGGGCCGATGTTTTGCCCGTGACTCGCTGGCGGCACCTTTCAAAAAAAATATCACGTCAAAGTGAGTTATATCAAAAGGTCCAATTATTCGCGTCGAATTCTCTCTGCATGTCTTGACATTTCAAAACGAAACATCAAATAAATGTAGTTCAGTTAAAGTACAACATGCCCTTATCTCAGTTGTATCAGTTACAAGTATTTACTTGTACTATTTACGGGAATGTGTATGCATCATCATGATCGCATGATGAGTGAGTGAATCATTGAATACCCAAAAAAGTCCATTTCTTTCACACATTTCCTAACAAACTCGAATGGCAACCCGGTCTGATTAGAACGAAAATGATATGCTTTTCCTGTTTCCATGTAAGCGATTTGGACAAGCCACGGGGAGAACCGATTAGCAAATGATTCCCCACATGTTTTCGGTGAAATCGTGTCAAAATCGCGGTGGCGCCATTGAACTTGCAATGATTCATGTTGTACAGCAGCCGTTTGCGTGACGCGGACGAAAGCGAAAGCTATTTGATTCACGCTTCCCCCTTATATCCTAACAGAAAAAAACGATGAAATTGGAATCCGTTGAATTCCACGACGGAAATAGGCTGATTTGTGAACGTAGGCCTATGTAAAGAAGGAGTTTACGCCTGTATCTATTCAATGGTTCTTACTGTATGCATGAAAAATCTGATGGGATCGTAAAATCTTACGTAAAATGGGGACATAACTGTCCTGACTAGCCATCTAGGATTTTATGCTGTTTCTATCTGGGATTCAGATAGAGAATGGATGCTCCGAATTTTTTTCCATCTTTCAACTTCACTAGCTCTTTTGAAGTGACTGGGTCAGTGACTGAGCTAGTTCTCTTGGCTGACGGCCGTAGAGACTATAAACGCTGTAGGCTCAGGTACAGGCAGTGGAAAAGTTAAGCATGTATAAATAAAATAAATAAGTAGTAAATTAGTTTTTCAGTCACCCAATTGTGAAATGATTACCTCGTAGAGGAACCCTTAAAAAACGATTTTTTTTTTGTCGTAAAACGAAGTGGAAAGCCTCAGTCTCAATTCAGCTACCAAGGCCCCCAATCTCACCGCCCCCTCTTTCCTAACCCTATATAGGCAAAATGGTATCAGAAACCTCGAAACATAAAATTCTAAAACACTTCTGTGCATAAAGTTCCGAAACAAAGGTGAATTCCTTGAATTCCCAGGATTTTCTTTCCCTGGGATCTTTTGTTTTGATAGCTCTCCGTGATTTAGCAGCTGATAAACTTCAAAACTGTTTAATACCGAAATTGAGTTTTTAAACCTTGACACTTAGCTATTAGTTACTGATAATGACGCCGTCTGTCAGCTGTCATACTAGATAGTAATGGGCAAACTTCGAGACTGTGACCTTCCCAGGATGATGTATAGGACTTGGGCATTGGCATGATTATAAATATTCCGATGATCAAACAGCTACTTCGGCTACTTTTGTAGTAATTAGTATAGTAAGACCAGAAAAAGTAACCCAAAATCAATAACCTATCGATTGCCAGAAATAGCTGAAAAAACAGTTTTTACCTTTTTGTTGGCCGATATAAGACAATGACGGTGAGAACCAGCTTTCCATAAGAACGCTTTATGATCAATGGGTATTGTCACAATGTTGCCAATGAAGATAAAGGGTTCTGTCAAGAAAAAGCGACGAACAGAGCGATGGCTGGACTAAGCCTGGACTTTGAAAAACCTCTCTTTTTTCGAGAGCAAGTTCTATGACCATCAAACGCTCCCTACCGCTGTGCTAGTTGCCCGCCAGCGAAGAGGCCACCTGTGAGGCGAGCCAACTTTAAAGAAGTTGATTTCCTGGAGTGCGCCATGCAATCGACCCAAAGTCAGGATCTCAAAGAGTGTCGCGAGTAAGCAGCTTACACAATGTCACTGGGGATAATCGTGTCTAGGCGGGTAACGTAGGCAATGTAGAACTTTCTGATGAGAAAAGGGCCTTGTAACTGAAATGCCCTGACCTTGCTAACCACTGCACTACTTCGCGATGAGAAATGAAAGTTACTATGAGAGTAATTACTGGTTAGATTTTAGGATCTTTACACATGGTGCAGCATACCTAATGATCTGGTTTTATGACGCAACCGCCGCATAAGAACTGCGCACATTATCTCGTTGAAACAGGGGCTTGTTCTGACCCACTAAAGACTCGTCATTCGGTTTTTTCGTGGGTTCTGAAAAAGTAATGCGACTTCTGTGACAGTGGGACTTCATAGATCGGAAGCGGAACACACGCGAACAGCTCAGTGCGAACGTGGCACTTTTTCACAGCCCCACTAATTGACCTTTGACGAATTTCCGCAGAGGTGGTCTTTGAGCTGCACTTGAAAATGTACTTGAAAGTAAATGACAAAAAAAANTTCACTTACTTACCTACATGGTATCAAACCAGTTAGTCAAATCACCTCAAGTGTTCACTATTACCCATTGAAGGAAGGAAAAATCTGGATCAGACAATTCGTTGGCATTACTTTCGATTATGGCTACCTCCCAAAAACAAACTGTGAAGAAAAACTTCAACTTCCTCGTTACCAGTAACAATTTCGTTGGAATATTCACCTATGGTGGAGCACAAATAAATCAGATAATTCAAATAGTTGATTAAATGAAGTTAGATTCATGGTTGAGAATTTAGAAATTCCCGAGAAACAGTTCATCTCTTAATAGCTACCTACAAATTTGTTTATTCTACTTCCGAGTAATTTCTGATAAGCTATCGGAATCAAATCAAACAAGAATAGTATAATATGTACTTATTCGCATGAAAACCGTTCTTTATCATCTTATCATTACAATTATTCAGATGTATTTAGATTTACCAAAAAGAAGCTCTCATAGGGAACTTCAAGAAAACCCACCCGAGCGATAGAAGCAAAGCAGATGAGGATGAGGCAACGAATCATGAGATTCATACATTCAACACTGAATCTCTAAGCACGGCATGCGATGTTCTCGTTGATGACTAAATAAACAAAATAAGCCAAGAATGTTACAAAAATTGAATAAAAAACGAGCTACATGAGGAAATGAGGTGAGAACATAGTCGACCTGCTTACTACCTACGTATAAAGTGCAAAGTCGGTACTAGAATCGGTTACTTTTAACGAGTTCGAAAGAGGAAGTTCAAGAGCAACGGTTTGATACGATACGATTTGATATGATAGGGAACAAGGGCAATTTCGTGGAGTCAGATAGGAAAAAAATGAGGATTTGGAAGGGGGGGGGGGGGTCTGGTTGGTTGGGAGCGCAAACTGGATCGGTATCGTCACACAAATGGCAGCAGCGTTAGCCAGTGGTCTCTTCGATAGGATATTCCGAAAGCCAGCATAACCAGATTCAAACAGGCGCTGACTAAGATGACTGGCGGCGCTTGTGTGTCTGTGTGTGTGCATGTGTGTATGTATGTCTGTGTATGTGTGTGTCTATGCCTATGTATCTGTGGAAGCCTATGAAGCCTTCAGAGTTGTGGGTGTATAGATGTATACACCTGCGGGGAGGTCCACGCAATCAGGCTACTACCGGAAGCTGACCACCTGAAGAGAACACCCCGGCGCAGTACATTTCCGACCTAATTACCTACTTGTTGCAAAGTAATTTCTGCAATTTTCGAATACCTGAAGGTTGGGTGTTGGGATCGCGAATGACGTACAACATTACAGGTTCCTATCGTACCAAGTAATATTGAAAAACAAACACTGCTGAACCGGTACTTACAATAAAGTACTACAGTACTAAATTGCTTCTATCATATCCAGTAATTGAATGAGGAGTACGAGAAAAGCCAAAAGAGTCCCATGAGAGGACGAGTTTTCGTGGTTGGCTTAAAGTTATAGTAAAAATTATGTAATAAAGTTGAAAGGCGCCAGTCAAAATAAGCATTTTGATAGTGATCTCACGTGAGAACATTAGATACTATCTTAAACACTCTTTGGTTTTCTCAAAACCGGTTTCTACTTTCCCAGACAACAATTACAATTTTATACTCCTTGTTTTTGGTGGGATCTCAGTAACCGAGACAATATTCCCATATGATCACAGAATTTATTGAAAACTTTACAAATCTGCAGCTACCTAAATGCGACCGGTAATTTGTAAGGTCACGAGGTTTTGGAGATAGGAACTGGTAAGCCGAAAAAATAGTTACTGAAAAAGGGGCTGTTCTGGTAGTAAG